GATGACTGGTATTACGCAGCAAAGTCATAAATGTATTCTATTGTGTGAAGGTTCCCGTAATAACATCACAGTAAATGGTTGGCGGCAAAAAAGATTGGAATATAAAGAAAATTAACATTGTGTTCATCATACGGTTTTGCTGTATAGTGGTTACGAGCACTTTTGTCTGAAATATATCCTATATCGTGATGACGTGACGCCACCTGACTATACAGACATCTAATACAGAGTGAGAGTTTATCAGACAGACCTATCGGTTTCACTACAATACCACGATTGCAGTTTATATAAATGTAACAAGATTTCATGATTTTTTTATTCACTCCAGGTACACATTTCGTGTTTAACAGGATGTCAATCTTCGAATACATTTATATTGGCAGACCAACTGGAAAGATTGGTGTATTTTAAACAAATCATAGCATGCATACATATAGTACTATACATACATATAGTATCATAGATACATATACATCATAGATACATATAATAGCATACAAACATACATATGATAGCATAAATACATACATATAATAGCATACCTACATACATGTAACAGCATACATATAACAGCATAAATGCATACATATAATAGCATACACACATATAATAGCATACATACATACATATAATAACAAACATATACAGCAGAATATTGCACGCAAGTGTAACCTTGCGTTATGTATTCATTGTAGCGGAAAATGTGCATACATTCAGCCTTATTAACGTCGGACTCAGGCCGAGAGCTGTTTGAGGATTTATCTTTAGAATCTGTGTTGCGTAAAATGAATGTAATGGCTCTCCATCCATTTCGATAGTGTTTGCCGTCAGATTATATTTCATTGTACAGTTCCAAAAGTCCCTGGAGAACAGCACCAACATCAAACGCTGGTCTTCAGATGACCATTAAGATGGTCTGAAAGAGTATCCCCTTATTTGGAAAGACACGTAATTCCATGGGTCTCCAAAAGGATCTTCAGGGAGTCTTGTTTCCTTCATATATGCTCTCTTCTAACCCTACTTTTACATTTTTTTCATCCTTTTCACTTTTTTGTATCAAAGAAATTATCACAATACTAAGAAAAACGCTAAAATTTAAATCAAGTTTATCCAAAAGTATGCAATCTAAGAATGAATTCGATGAACAGAGTTTGAAAAAAATTGACATTTTAATATATTTATTTTCACGAGCATTTCCACAATGTTTGTAATATTATGTATTTGTATGGTTGTTTTTCAACGACTAAGAGAAAGAACAAATTCATTTTAATACTAGTCTCGCTCAAATACAATGTCAAGTACAGTAAGCAAGCTGGTGAGCGCATGCGCCATGCATCATCAGAGTTTTAGTTATACCGTCGAAAATGTGTTGCACAATATCAATACATATTTATGATACAATGTAATTATGATTTAAGGTTCAAAAATGCATGCGTTTACAACTATTGAAAACGCCAACGTTTTCGGTTCATAAACAAAGAACTGTCACGAAACCCTTTAATAAGAAAATATTACGGTATTGCTTCGTTTATGAGCAAATAATCGCCAATGTATGTATACTGCTCATCAACAATTTTGTCAATCATAGTTGCGTTGTTCATAATCAATGAATTCGTCATTGCCTATTGTTCATGGGCAATACACTCTTGTGCTGCTTTTGCTCATTACTATATTTACGTTAAGTATAACAGACCTCAGCTGTAAGGCTCTGATTTCCGATGATAACGTCGTGACACACTTTAGTTGACCAGTGTCCACCGCACATTGACCGCCTCATCCTTCGCAAGACGTATATAAGGCAGAATCGAAAAGAAATAAAAATGATAGTGGCAACCGAAATATTACATTAGCTAATCCATTAGATAGGTTGATTTAATAAGGAAATGACTGGCCATAGGTTCAGGCTAGGTATTATGGCTAAAGACGTGCGTGTAAGATACGCCAACAAAGTAAGCTAAATCAACACTTTACTGCCGCGCACTGAAAGGTACGTTATATCTCAATCGATATATAGCACCATCGTCTCTACCCATCATACAAAATACACAACACGATTCATATTTAATCTACTTTACAGCTAATCATAGTCACACAAAGACCAGTAACTCATTTTCAAATCGCCTCGTCCTGTCAACAACACTAGTCCAAATAAAGAGGATGGATCCGCTGTTTGGTAAACATTCAAATTACAGTCTTTAAGCTACTGACGTAAAGCGTATACATTTTTGTTACGCACGATTGCTAATTTGATTAATATGACTCGGTACATAAACACTGTGGTTATCCAATGAGCGGTACGTATGATAAACACACTATATGTACGGGATCCAAAACACGTGTACCCATATTGTACGTTTATTAAATAATTGATCAAACAAATAAAGAGTACACAAGAGCAATATAATTAATACATGCAGCAATATACATGTTATTAATACATGTACGTAAAGGTAACTAAGAGAGATAACTCTAACACAGATGCATGAACCGATCAGTTCCGAAGAACTTCCAGATGTTTTAGCCATTTTTAATTCATAAATAATGGAAAACCAATCGTTATTTTATGAACTTGACGGAATTAATTCCTCCCAACCCCCACCCTCCCATCCACCGCCGTGATTTGTTTTGCATTCTTCCTTTTTCATAGATATGTTTGTCCTATGTCTGGGCTATTGACACAACCTCTTACACTGTATGAATACAGACATTATCAATGCTCATTAACATATATATCTTCCAAGTGATACCCTCTGAATAGTACAGACGTACAATCTATGTAGAACTACTGGACTGCTAAGTAATACCCTGGGGCTTCTACATCACATAGAACTACGGAATCATTTGGTCGCCATTAACTCCGCTTTACACCCATCTTAAATCAGATACATTTCAGTTGAAGGTCGTGTAGTACGCTTAGGACTCCCGGCCTCTCTCACACTCTAATAGTGCATATGATTTCAAGTGCTTTTTTACCCGAACTTATACCAAATATTGCTGTTTATTAATCATATAACGTTATGACAAAGTCATACTTTTTATCAGAAACTTTTTTATATGTATAGACTTTAATCTGTTTTATGTCAATGGAAGTGGTTATATAGCTTATTTAAGTCTTTCAAACTGGTGTGAAGTATAAGGTCTATTCCTATAGCAGAGTAAACAACATTTAAACATGGAATGCATCATTTTGTTAATTATCAATCGGAATAGAGAAATAAAGTAAAGCTATCTCGTATTAACTATATTACTCGTCTTCGCCTTTGGGGTGACTGATATATTTTGAACTATTTGCGTCATTACTAAGGTCTTGTTGTATCACATACATGTGTCATGTACCATATATAAACAGTTTCTGTAACCAACAAGCTGAATAGTTATGCTAATAATTGAGTTGTTCGCCAGTGTTGTAAAATATAACATGGTTCTATAGTGTGCTGTGCTAGGCTAGGACGTGCATGGAACTATTATATTTGATGCAAAGGAAAACTGCGGTCCCGTGTGATGTTCTTGTGCTCAGACACAACTTAAGGTGACATCATGGGTGTCACTTGTGTACAGGACACGCTTATCCTTACGAAACAACTACTATGGTACACTTACGTTCAATTCTTTACCCAATACTCGTTTCCGGATGCTTAAATGTCGGAAAAGAATAACTTCAAAGTAACCATATTTTTGTTTTTATTTATCCGAAAAATTCGTCATTTGTCACTTTTTTTTCTGGGAATCAGTCGTTTTTATAGTACACACGATTCCATAATACACAAAGTAACCTGTGTTAACCGAATCCTGTATAATCCGTACACCTGTATTTACCGGCAGTATGTTTGTTATCTTTTCTCACATCGTTTTATCAACAGGCTTACTCTAATGGGTGGTTGATTATGATCCGGCATTAGCTGTGAAGTGTGCTTCTGATTTTTTTCCGTGAAATGGTTAAAGTCACTTTTGATTTTAAGAAAAGAAATGAAACAGCTTTTATGTAGGTTTTACTTTGAACCGAAACTAAAACCCCATTTAGTGTAGATGCGGTACATGGGTTCAATAAGAGGTCTATTTCTGACATCGCTCGGGAGAATTTAAATGCTTTTGTCACGCCAGGTTGGCAATCTGATTTCTTTTTAATGCATACACCATTGCATTTTCGGACATTTTATATACATGTTTGAATGTAAACGTAAAATGCTGCAGTTGTGGACTTGTTTTATTCTAAAAGTCCTACTTTCCGTTCAGACTTCGCCTGATAATGTACTTAATATTACGAGAGAAAAAACATTTAAATGTGTGGGCCGTTGTCTCGAAGTCAAGTCTGTTTACTATCGGCAGGTTGGGTAAAACAATAATACCAGCATTGTAACACTCATGGCTGCATGGAACTCACTAATATATATAATGTAGTTCTGTAATCACGTGCCATATAGTTGTGTACAAGATTTCAAGATTTCCTTATCATACTTAACGCTCATTCACTACAAAGTGTAAAACAAGAGATCACAACAGCCTGACATATCCAATTTATCAATCATAAGGTTGTACATGTATATATAACCTCTATTTGCATAAAGAAACTCTAACTCGTTTTAATTGTACTATACGTGTATGTTGTCTAATAGGACGAGAAGCTTGTGTACCATGTTATATGTTATTTTAAATTACACATGTTAATTCACCTTTGAGTGTTTGGATTTAAGTTTAATAGATAGCCATACCCATGCATGTTTCATAGTCTGTAAAATGGCGGGAATATCACACACGATAAGATATACACGTGTTTTACAGGTTTTGCTTATTTGACAGAAAACATCATGTGGCGGAGACAACTCTTATCGGATCCGCCATTTTGTTATTATTATTATGTTCCCTGTATTATGTATAGTTTATTGTCATTTTTTGTTTGTATGGATTTTAATCTGAGATTGTTTCCTTTCGTGCTATTGCCCTACTTTACCTACAATTTTGAAACAACAATTTATATTTATATTAGATATTATCCATTGCAGGCTTGCCACAGGAGGCTTATACAATATGGGAGGCATATCCGTGGAGATTTGGAAAGGAGTTCTGTATATTCAAGGCAATGCTGACGGAAGTGACATCATATGCATCAGTTTTGACAATCACGGCTTTCACAGTGGAACGATACGTAGCCATTTGCCATCCATTAAAATCTCACAAAATGACAGACCTGGGATTGACTATAAAGATCATTATCGGCATCTGGATATTTTCCCTACTGTGTGCTATTCCATATCCGATCCATACGAGGATATTTTATTATGTCAACTATCCTGGGACGAACAAGCCGATCCCGGACTCTTTATCGTGCAATATCCCTCCGCTATGGCAGGCGCGGATGGGGATCATGTTTCAAGTGTCTTCATTTCTCTTCTTCATCATCCCGATGACTGTAATCACTGTTCTATACATCCTGATAGCAGTAACTCTCCGTCGCACAACCCTCAATAGGGCGGGGTCGGAGGACTCGACTCGGGGCAAAGGGACCTCATCACATTCCATAAAAGTAGTTCTCAGGATGTTAGGTAAGAATACAGTGTACATGGTCATTTGCCTTTAAAACCAGTTCTCACAAGTTTTGCTAGAGTTTAAGGTTAATTGATGCATTGTCAGGTCTAATCTTGTCTTATAAAAGTAGTTTTCGGTATGGTAGGTACTAATTATATATAATTACATGTCACTTGTCGTAAATCCTCGGATTTTTTTGTACAAATGCATTGTCTTGTGTCTTTAGGAACAGAGTTTCATTGTTATGTATAATAGTAGATATAATGTCAATTGTCCTTTATCAGGCCTACATTTAAAGTTCGCTTTTTAAAGTTGCTGAACAATTGAGATATATATTTATTTCAATAATGAAATAAACTTTACTGGTATGTGTTCAATAGTGAATAATTAATTTTATACCGCCGTAAATCTTACGAATAAGCAAACTACAACATGTAGGAAGTGAACGTGCCTATTTTGAATCATTTACGTTGGTATACAACTTCAGTCTCTATATTTATGTTACAAACAAACAAAAAACGAATTTCGTCCTTCTTGGGTTTTTTCTCCGTTCTTGACGCACTTTGAACAAACTATTTCAGCTAATAAAAGAACAGCCATGTTTTCTGAAAGAAAGTCGTATTTTCTTAGGTCACCCTTTCCGTACGGCAACAGCCATAATTCGAAAATTGCCGTCATAATTTGAATCGCCACGTCATAATTAACCCCCGATTACTCTTACAGTATGACGGAAGACCCGAACAGTTTCCAATTAGAAAAACATTCACGTGTATTTGTTCGTACTTTTATTGAATTATTTAACACAACTTATTGTTGGTAGATTCATCGAAACGCTGTACAATTCTTCTAGTTTATTGCCAATGTAAATATATCATCGCATTTGTTCGTAGCTCAACGCCATTGTTGCAAGTATAAATGAATATCGCCATAACATTTATATATTGACAGTTGCTGTCGTTGTGGCCTTCTTTGCCTGTTGGGCACCGTACCACGCCCAGCGTCTAATGACCCTGTATAACACAAACTGGACAAAACTTTTACTGGAGGTTCAGAGTCACCTCTTCTTTATATCAGGTAATTATAAGCGTAAGTCTAAATCAGGAATCACATCTTCTTCATATCAGGTAAACGTTAGTCTAAATCAGGAGTCACATCTTCTTCATATCAGGTAAACGATAGTCTAAATCAGGAGTCACATCTCCTTCATATCAGGTAAACGTTAGTCTAAATCAAGAATCACATCTTCTTCATGTCAGGTAAACGTTAGTCTAAATCAAGAATCACATCTTCTTCATGTCAGGTAAACGTTAGTCTAAATCAGGA